GCATTGGTGAGGTTCTGCAAGTTCTTAAGCACAATGAAGTCTGTATCCAGGTAGATGCCACCAAATTTCCACATGAGGACAATCCTGCAGGCATCAGACAGGATGGGTAAGAAATAAGGCTCCAAGTGCCGCAGAGGCCACGAGTACCACTTTTCCAGAGGTGTTCCAGAAAAAAGCTCTGGCAGGTCCAGGGGCCGGATTTCCACGTTGGGGAAGCAGCTCAGCAATGAGAAAGCCCAGTGGTTGGGTAAGGAGGTGTTCCCTTTTGCCAAGCCTTTCATTAGCACCACAACCTTTGTCCTGGGATGTGTCCTGGCTGCTGACTCCACAGAGCACGTGAACAGGTAGCTTGGGTTAGTTTGCTCTGAGGTCTCCACAAAAAACACATTCCCTGAGGATGGAGGGGGCCCATCAGCAGTGGCAAGGGGAGAAGGCACATAGTGAGCACAGCTGATTTCAATAGGCAAGCTGTAGAGTTGGCTTATGCCTTTCGTGTTCTCCACGATTCTCCAGTACAATATGATGGAGGCAAAGGACATGAACTTAAAGGTGAGGATGAGCCCTGAGCTGAGCTTGTGGGTCAGCACCACCCTGGTCAGTTTTAGCAGGCAGCTGGGCATCCTGAGAATTCGGGCTCCCATCAGAGCCTGCTCTCCTGAGAAAACCATCGTGATCTGAAGGGGAGGAAAGAAGAAAAAGACATTGGCAGGAAAGGCAACAGACCATGAGCCTCAAGACAGTATTTTGGCAGAGCTGCATGCCGAACTCTCTCACTCTCTTTCTCCTTCATGCTGGCACACTTGAATTACGCCTTTAAGTCATCTTTAAATAAAGCATCCTGACTTCTCCATGTTGCCACAGGGCCCACAGAGCCCCATTATAAACCACAGGCCATGTCCAGCTTGTGAGGTTATGTGACAAATCTCAACTGCACACACACAAAAAGCTCAGAGGGGCAAAGGCAAGAAGAAGAATACAAATATATCTTGCCATGCTACGCCCAGGCCCATTACAGGGGCCATCAGCTCATCAAATATCCATTTGCCCAAGCCCAAAGGAGCACAGGAGCACAATGGCAAGCAGTATCCTGGATCAAAGACTCCAAAGGAACCAGAATGTTGCCTGGGACACCCATCACCAGGGTCACCAGAAACAGCTCTCTAGATCACCCTTCAGACTAAGGGGGTCACTGCCTAGGGGTGGGACATATTATGAGGTGCAAGAGAACACCAGTTTGGAATTATACAGCACTACTCCTGAGATATTTACAAAAAGAACCAGAGGTAGGGCAAGGGAGACATTTAGGTGATTTAGGAGGAACAAGAGTGGGGAAAAAGAGGTGTAAAGGGCTAGCAAGAGCCAGCTGCAGGGAAACAGCTTGCGGGTCAGTATGCTTGCCTGGCTGTGCCCTGTGCCTGATCAGTGCAGACTCTTTGATCTTCTGCTTAAATTCCTTTCTTACTCTTTCCTGGTGAGGGCTTTCAATTCTGTGTGCACATGTGTGTATCGGGGTGAGAATACAGCAACTGGGGCTCACGTGGGCCAGATGGCCCATGAGTCTGTGGTGCCAGCAACTGGAGCCAGTGTGGGTGTGCAAGCATGCAATGGCTGGCAAAGATCAAGTCGACCAGTCTGTGAGTATGCCAAGTGGCCCAGAAGCCTGGAGGGTGAGTGGGTCCCTAAGAGCAGCTCTGGGTGTGAGAGCACAAGAGTGTCAGCTGTGGGGCATGGAAAGTCCCAGCTAGCTCTGCATGAGTGTTTGACAGTTTATAGCAGCAACTGGAGTCAAGCTGCATCCTTGGGGACTTGTATGTCTGAGTGCCAGCAGCAGGAGAGACTGGGATCCAGGGGCAGCTGCTGAGGGAATCCAATCTGTACACATGTCTATGCATAATCTCACTTGTGAATGTCCAGCCAGAGATGGGAGCAAGATGAGACTGTTGGTGCTGCCTATGTTCACATGGGTGCTCTGAACATCTGCCTGGAATCTGTGTGTCCAGTCATGTGTCTGCTGAACACATCTGCAGCCTCACACTACTGTCTGGACATGGAGCAGCAGCAGTCTCACCTCTCTCAGGCTGTTGGATCTGGCATCATATGTTGTCTTCTAGCAAAGATTACTCTCCTTCAAAACCAAAATATCCTCAAACCTCTCCCTTTATCACAAACCAAGACTGACCCTTACTTCCCTGGATGCATAATGTGTTTGTCCTTGTAAGGAAATACAGCATTAATTCCATTTTCTCTCCATCAGTCCTTTATTTTCAAATCAGATGCATACAAGAAGAATACTAGATACAATAATTTCAGACTCTCTTTTGTCCTCTAGTTTGCTGCCACCCTGAGGATCCTGATACCTGACAGTGAGTGGGGACAGCTGCATCTGAGGTGTTTCATTTCCCTAGAGAAGCATCTGCCAGCCTTCCCCAAAGCTGAGAATTCAGTATCACAGAATAGCCCTTTATTCTCTTACATTTATTTCTCAATAACTACCCTGTGTCCCATATTTGCTACAAAGCTCCACAAAGTCTTTGCTATGTTCCTTCACATGAAATCTCTGTTCTTCACCATGCTCTTAACTTTGTATTTAAGCTTCTACAGCTTAAATACCCTCCTGTCAGGCAGCTGAGCTGTGATACATGGTGCTATTTCTGCTTCTACAAAGGTAGTGTGATTGTCCTGGCCAGCTCCAAGTTTAGAACTCTGAAGCCCAAAGTGTAGGTTTAACCATTACAAGTTATGTTACAGTAGATGAAAGAGTACAGCCGAGTTTATCTCCCGAAAAGTCCAAGAGTTTTTAACAATGTGAAATAAAGTATATAAATGCACAGTTTAGTTGAAGGGTGCTGTCATCAACGTGCCAATGCCCTCCTCAGAGCTTGGAGAGTCAAAGTGGTGCTAGGCTCTTAAAATAAAAAAAAACCAGTAACATTTCACGAGGAATATATTGTCTGAAAAAAAAAAAAAAGTCGTCTGAGAGATGCAAAACATTTCAGTGTCTTTTCTGCTTTAATTCCTGTTTCCCTTTTGGTAAAAGTGTGCATAATTTAAAAGAAATAAAATCAATATGCTCTAACAGTAAAAACAGAAGTTCTGTGAGACATACCAAAATTGTGCATGATGTAAACAGAGAACTAGATTATGCCTGCTACAGAGAGCTGTGGGTCAGCTTGGTAACAGAATTTTCCATTTCAGGTTAATCACTCTCCAGTTGGGGGTGCGGGGGAAACCCAACCAAAAAAGTTTCCATTGATACTTTTTTTTCTCTCTCATTTTTTCCTCCGTGTTGAATAAAAGCCTTATTGTTCTATGATTTTTCCTACACACCTTCCGTGTCTGAGACTGGCCACTTTGGAGTGTTTCTACACTATCTGTAGGCAATGACACATCACCAGGCACTGCCATGCCTGGGAGTGGCCACCTTACAGTAAGCTGTCCTTCCCCTCCATTCCCTCTGCTCTCCTTCAGACTCTGAAAGGGTAGCACACACTTTCTTTCCATATAGTTGCAAGAAACAGCAAGACCCTGGCATCTCCTCTCCCTCCCTCTCTATCATTCCACAGACATATCATGGAAGAAAAGTGAGGGAATGAGAAGTTTCCAACAAAAGGAGGACTCCCTCAGGTATCTGAAGCAGAAAACTTTGCCTACAAAATAAATATGAAGCTTTTCTGAGGGTTTATCTTCCACAGAACAGCTCAACTGAAGCACAGATCTGGGAGAAAGTAGTTAAGACAGCACTACTGCTGCCTCAATACTTCTCACAAACAGTGAGGAAATAGCAAAGTCCCAGTTTGGTTTCTCTTAAAGACACTCTACAGCTGAACAGGAGAGAGGTATCTTGGGCAGTAAACAGGTGAAGCAGATTTCAACAGGTGCTTCAGCAACAACAGTGAAAGTACCAGGGAAACCACAGGCTCCTCTGGGGCAGTGCAAGCACCTTTAAAGCCAGAACAAAAGCACAATTTTTTCCTATCATGTGCTGGAGTCTTATCTGAAGCTACAGAGTAGTTGATGGTGATGTGCCAGTAGTCATTTCAATTGAGGAAAAAAGCACGAGGAACAACCAGAGGCACAGAAACGACTGCCACACCAATGCAAACATGCAGCTGTGTTTGCTTAAAATTCACTGCTGACTTCAGAGGTGCAGTGTGTGGGTCCAGAAGGCAAAGCAAACATTAATAAGCTCTGAGCAAGGAAGTTTCCTGATCCTGTCAGAAAGAGGCGCTTTAGGACTTAGGTGGGACAAAGCAGAGGTGACTTAGCAGCAAAGAGGTATCACAACAGCCAGAGTCAGCAGCCAGGTCTTCCCTCACAGAAACCACACTGCAATTCCCACGGGGCGTGGGCCTGACTTGTTGACTTCCTTCACTGTGGTGCACACAGCAAGGAAAAAACTTGGTTTTTTTTTAAATACCTTTGGTATAGTACTTTCTGTGCAGGACAGTGTGCCACATCCCAGCATCAATCACAGCAGCCACAAAGCAGCCTTCACATGCTGCCAGATACTCCTCCTGTTTCAGCCCCAATGGTTAGTAACCCATAGCTGAAGCCATGGCACAGAATATGCCATACAAGAGTTTCCACAGGGCAGACAGCCCTGCAATCCACTGAAGGTGATGCAAGACAAGTTTAGGGCATTTCTACGTAGGTCAGGTAAACTGCTAGGTTTAAATGCTTTGTTAAATATACTCCCTGATATTGAGACCAGAATGTTTTCCCAGACTAACATTAGAAAAGATCCAGAGTATTTTTGCTGCTGCTTCATGGAAGTCAAATCCATAATTCCATTCCTATTTGCCAACAGGTTTCAGCTTTTGTTTTCCTCAGAAAGCCATGACAAGTTTTTTTGGGGGTGCACCTATAGCTTTTCCTCTAGAAGCTACAGAAAACATAAGTCACGAGAAAATACATAACATCTTAAAATCTCAAACCAGTATCAGAGCAGAATTGTCAAGGTACACTTTTAAATAACATTTGGTGCACCAAAAATAAATATACTAATCTTGAATCTAGAGTTAAGGGAATTTAGAATAACCAGTGGGTGTAATTCTCATCAAATATATTTGGTGTTAAGGTACCCTTAAATGTAACAAAAAAAAAAAAAGAGGCTGAATATTTATATAATCAGGTTCCAGATATTGTGTTTCAGAGCAGCTACAGGTACATATTTCCTTCCTTTCAAACACAATGGAAAATGAAAGCTTTTATTCAGAACAAATTAGGAAAAAAACCCAGAACTAGACTACACAAGTTGTTAACGCAAAGCATCTTTCAGTCCAAAGACCACAGACAACACTGCCCTGTGCTGTCCCTTCTGCTTTTACCCCTTTGCTCTTTCAAGTGTAGCATGTTTGCCCAGAACAGCAAATGGGAACTGATACTCTGAATTGTTCCTATGTGCTGTGGAGAGTTGTGCTCAAGAGTGGTCTCCAGAAATACTTGGAACTAGGTGGTCTGCAGCAGAAAGGTGGATGAAGGACTCATCTTGTAGCCATGCTTTTTGGTTCTGTCCCAGGTGCAGGTCAGTTTGTACGACACCAAGAGATAATGCATTTGGTTTGTTCAACTTTTGCACACTTCATACGCTATCTGCACTTAGCTCAAGAAGGGTGTTTCA